GACCAAGTTGTCATCCTAGGCCAAGACTTCAACCAGTTATCGGCCTGTCTTGTTGCCGGCGTGGGCATTTATCCTCACAGCTCCGAAGCTGAACCCGTGACCTGTCTCAAGGGTTTGGACAGCCACTTGCCATAATGCGTCAACCCCGTCGTGCAGCCAGCCTATGTCCGTGTATGCGCGAACCAAACATGCATCCAGTCCGTCCCGTTTAATTTCAGGGACAGTTAAGACAGGGTATGCGATATGCTATCTCCGACTGCTCAATGAGATTTAATCGGCCTTTGATTCTCATGACCCGGCTGCGCATGGTATCCTTGAGACTGAGTGCGATTGCAACGCCTAGTGCCGCGGCGATCTTTCAGCCATCATGGCCGTACTCTGTCTTTTTTTATTCTTCTAGTGTGTATTTTTTTGCTAAGGATACTAGAAGGTTTTCAATCCTCCAACTTTTTAAAAATACATTGCAAACGTCAATTATGAAAAAGACTGTGCAATCGCTCTTAAGTTAATTTCCGGTTTGAACATTTAGCGCGTCATACATCAGCAGTTGCCAGCAACCCAGAAAATACGTATAGTGTGCACAGTGTGTGTTCGGTCAGCCGACCTTGCCTTCACCGTTTGCTCAGCCAATGAAGAGGAGATCAGGAAATCAACTACACAAGATTTTGGAATAAAGTCAGATTCAGAACATGGCCAATAGCTGAGCGCTCGAAAAATTATTTACCCTTCTCGAATCATAGATTTCTCGATGTCATTATATTCGTTCGCAATGGCGCTGCCCATATTGCAAAGAAAATGAAGGCACGATCACTAGGACAGCATTCGTATTTGTCTGAGCTTTCAGGTTCGTACAAGGGGCCATCTTCAGACGCAGTGACCGTTCATCATGAATGGACGTGTTTTGTAGTTCAGCTTCGAGAAAAAATGGGTGATGGGGAGAGGATGTTGCAGTTGTGTTAGGTTGACTTCACGTTGCGTCACGGCGTGCGTATTGGCAGAGGAACTGGGCGCACTTCGTGACAGTGCGATCGAAGAAAGTGAGAGAAAGTGATATATCAACATTTCTGTTGATGAAATTGTAGTTGGATACGCAGGTCTCCAGTAGTTCTTGTCCGTTCTAATCAGTGGCTGGCGCCACTGTCCGTGTGCTCTTGAAATTAAATTTGTGACTTGAGACAGTGGATTGCCTTTCCGCACTGTCCGTTTGTGCTCAATCGTTTATGAACTAACTCTTCGCCCGATCCGGCCTGTATAATGGCAAGAAAAACCGCGACATGGAACCTGATATACGACACCCGACCGCTTACCTACATCCAGTCGGTCTTTTATTTGCATGATTCGAGAACGCATGGTAGCCGTCGGACGATGAACGATACAGACGCCGAGCTCTGCGGCAATCAGTTTCATTGCTTCCAACACATTCTTTAGATTCGGTAAAGGTGCCAGAATGCTGGTGGATCTCCTCCGTTTATTGGCCATGGCGAGTACGGAGGCAGCAACTGACGAAGCTGCTCGTGTTGTTTTAATTCTTGCCAGTTGGTAAAGAAGATGTCGTAGCTCTCGCACACGTTCGATGCAATGACTTTTGCCCTCTGGAAGAGTGCTCTAAGCAATAAAGCTTATGCGCCACTAGGTGGTTGCTATGTTGGTTGAGCACCTGAATTGTGTTATTCGCCCTTCTATACACCGTTGTGCTGCGTTCTCCCTTTGGATCTTCGTGGGATGAGGACATCAAGAAGAGGCAGCTGTTCGGCGTTCTCTTCTTCCCCTGTAAGTTGGATGTCGGAGAAGATGGCATTAAGAGGGTTTAGGAAGTCTGCTAGGCTGCTCCATACGATTATAACTAACGTGTGATCTGCATACCGGCACCGGCCCCGGAAAAAAACGTTTGTATCGGTGTGTATTGCGACTTAATCCAGTTGTTGTAAGAGCCATTCTGTGATGAGACTGGATATTGGGGAACCCATCGACGTCCCTTTGCTCTCTTTGTATGTTCTATTAGTGAAGGTGAAAAAATACTTTGGCAGAAGACATGAGTTGCACTAGATGATCAAATTGTAGGGGACTCTTCGATGCGTCATACTTCTCTTCGAGTAGTTTTCGTAGAAATTCGCGTGCCAGATCCGATGAAGTAGAAGTGAATAATGAATCCATTTCAAAAGATACCATGCTTTGATCAAGTTGAACCGTTCACTCCTGGATAGTAGCCAGCAACTGAGAGGTCAAATTGATTGAGGTCCTCGAGCCGTCTCGGAGGCAGTTTACTTTCCGTGCCATCCATTTGGATAGATTGTAAGTAGAGCTGCCTTTCAGCGCAAAGCTTGGCTGAAGGGGAACTTTGGGCTTGTGGATTTTGGACGATCCGTAGAGCTGGGTCAGTGCCACATAATTTGGCTTAGTCTGTCTCCATTTGTCTTGCGATATCACTTTGGTGCGCTTGAGTCGGTTCAGGAGTCTGGTAAGGGGGCTGATCATCGATTTAAGCTGTGAGGAAGGCGTGGATTTGTAAGATTGTTGGGCGTCGAAGAGGGTTTGCGCCATTCCGTTGCGGTTAAATTATGACGGTTGTGCTTCCCTTTTCAGCCGGTAGCACTATTATATATATCTTTGATTTTTTATTTCTTCATCGCTTCGTCTTCCGTGGGTAACATTCTAGTGGTAGGCCAATTTGTCCTTAATATGGAGGTGACATTCTGACGCACTGTGCGCTTAGCCTTGTCGATTGCGTCGCTTCTTACTAGTAGCATGGCTTCCGGTGACGCAATAAATTCGGCTGGCTTAGCGTTCGCTGTAGTAAATTTGGTTTCGTGACTCTGCTCTTTTAGTTCTTTATCATTCACCGGCTCGACACCACATATTTGTTTGTTTTCGATTCGGGTTTTAATTTTCCAAACTTCTGGCCTAAGTTCCTGCATTTAAGTTCCTGCCTCGCTTTTGCCAGGGTAGATATAATTCGCTCGAGGGAACTGGCCACGCATTCGCCGAATTGTGTCGCGCAGTCTGTCTCTTTTCAATGAACGTCTGGTACTTGCGTATTTATAGATGACAGTCGTTGATTAATGCACGTGTCATTTTTCTGCGAAAGCATTGCCTAACCTTTCTGCCCAAATCAGCATTTACTGTGTACGTAAGCTCTTCGGCGGCAGACCCTCAGACACGCACCCGCGTAGGAGGCGTAGCTACTGGAGGGTTGCTGCTTCTCGGCTAGATAATTTCCCCCACTTGCGGATTGCATCATGCCCGAAAGTATCGTGGATGGAAGAGAATGCCATTGGATTCAGTAGGTAAACTGCAGGACAATTATTATTTCAGACGGCTCTTGGCAGGGGTTCGTTTACTCTCCAAAGCCTAT